TATAATAATTGTACATATTTATAGGGTATAGTGTGATATTTTGATTCATTTATACAATGTGTAATGATCAAATCAGAGTAATTAGCATATCCATCACCTCAAACATTTGTCATTTCCTGTGTTTGGAGCATTCAAATCCTCTCTTCTATCTATTTGAAAATATACAATAAATTATTGTTAACTATAGCCACCCTACTCTCTCCTTCTATAAACTCAACTTTTTAAGCTTTTAAATAACTCAGTCCTTTCTTTAAATTTAACACCTTACTGTAAAAACAAGCCTCTAGTTATCCTACATACATACTTTCCATTACGAAGTCTTTTTAATTTTTACCTAATCTTGAGCTATAAATTTTTAATCTCCTGTCAGGATCTGTTATTGTTTAGACTATCTATTGCTACATTTTTCCAGTTTGTGTCTGAACAATTTTTCAAAATATCATTTACTTTGAAAAATAATGCATATCTTTATACTTGGCGATTTCTACAAATTCTTATTTTTATTTCCCCAAGAAGTGTTAAATTTCAATTAATAACATAAAACTAAAAATACACCTCAAACATATTAACTGAAATATCAAATTATGCTCTTTTTGCTTCACATAGCATATTATCACTCACAGCCACAATCCTGTTGTCAGAAGCAGGGTGGCAATCTTGTTGGTATATCTTCAAATATGTATGTGACAATGTAGAATTAAATGTAAAAACTCCGCTTTGTCAGTAATTGAAGCAGAATTTTTTCCAAAGAAACGTAAGTGATGGATATAAAGTAACAGGGTGTCAACTTCACCGAGACACTTTTTTAAACAGATTGAAAATTTTAAATGATTAATTTTAAGCTTTTTGACAGCAGCAGAAAGAAGCCTATTAAGTATAAAACAAGTTAGTCACCGGACCTCGAAAAGTGATTTCTGTTCTAGGGAACTGAAATGCAGTGATTCACGTAAAGAACCTCATCAAAACGTAATTAATTTGATAAATTTTTCTTGTAACTTTCTATTAAGGATGAGCCGAGCTCTGGGATGGATCCTAAGTCGAAACGGCACCTCTGGAAGATCATTTCAGAAGAAGTACAGAACAAATGTTCCGTCATCCTCACATCTCACAGGTAAACTAAGTGTGCGATCTTTAAAGTCAAACCACCCAATCTTAGGATGATAGATGGGAAAAGGTAATCCTATGTAATAGATCGAGTGATGATAGATAGATAGATAGATAGATAATGAATGCCCACAACTGTATCAATATGTTTATAGTAGTAGGAGCAAGTCAGGCAGGTTTCATGGTGAGAATACAGTTCTCGTGGTGGGACAGGGTCTAAGGTCTAAGCACTCTTTTTAAAATCAAATTTCTCATGACCTATGGCCCTCTTAAACGGAACTATGGCTCCTTATTGGTTGTCAGATAAATTGCAGCATCCTTAAACTCAATATGCAAAGCCTTCAATTCTCTGGCCTCATATAAACATCCATCTCTTTGTCCTGCAACACCTTCTCCCATCGGTCTATGTGAATGATGTCGTTTTGCATCCGCACACCGGCCCTTCCCACCTCCATGTCCCTTCTTCAGCTGTACTTCCTACTTGAAACCGTCTTTTCACAAACTCTCTCCACATCCTGATCCTACCAGTCCTTCCAGAATCTGCTCACATGCCTTTCCTCCAAGACACAGACACTTCAATCAGCTAAGCATAAGAAACAGCTAAAGCATTTTATCTGTGTCTCTCTTATGAGGTTGGCTTCGTATATTATAATTTGTATTAAGTTTATCTTTGCATTGTGATTATCAATGGTAGAAAAAGTATTAGATTTTTTTTATTATCAAGAGACTTATTTATATGCTAGCTTTGCCCTGGCACACTGGAGCCAGTCATTTGATGCCCATTAACTTTTGTATGAGGTGGACAAGGTGACACTCCAAATCACCTCCAGTTATCATAGTCTGTGAAATTAGAGATTATATAATCAAGTGAAGGTTAACTAGTTATAAATTCCACAACATAAGATCCAACTGAATATGGGGTATGAGGCATAATGAAAAAAGCTTGATGTCATTTTAGAAACGTTTCTGAAGAAATGTAGATCTTGAGTCAAAGCTTGAAAGAACCTGAAAGAAAATACTAGGTTTGATAGAGGGGGCATCCCAGGTGCGAGAGACGGCCTCAAGTTTTAGAAGAAATAGTAATAAACCCTATCTGAAGACGTTTAATTTAAATTAAAAGATTTTTTTGTTCTCCTTCAAAAGAAATAAAAGCTAAAGGAGAACTAAGGAAGGAGCTAAAATAGTAATTCTAAGGTGCCATAATGAAACAGTTAAGCTTATGCTCATGAACTTCAACCCTATTTTCTGTGCCCTGAATGCTAGTGTGATTCTGCTCTGTCTTTTAGCATGGAAGAATGTGAAGCTCTCTGTACCAGGCTGGCCATTATGGTGAATGGAAGGTTCCAATGTATCGGATCTTTGCAGCACATAAAGAGCAGGTGAAGAACAAACACGTTCACAGATGGTGTACAGTAATCAGTCTAATGGTGCTCTACTCATTTCCAAGGATTATCTCAGCAACCTGAGTAGTAAAACTGAAATGGAGAAGTTAATCATTGACTCGCCTTACATTGAAATTATTTTTTTGAGGGTTTGACGTGTTTTTAGTTTATAACTCAAAAACCTACAAGGCCTACAGCTAAAAAATAAATAAATAATACATCATCCACAACCAAAATACTCTCAGGAAGACATTTTCAAGAGTTTATCCAGTAACAAATTAGACCTTGACAAGTATATGAAGGCATAGATTTTTATTTAGCATGTTCATTTGCCATTTGCACAGGCTTTCAGTAAGCTATTTAACATTTTTACTACAGTCAAAACCTTTTAATCAAGCACACTTTGCAGAAATGTGCATAAATATTATATTACTATAAAATTAAAATTAAATTAATAGTTTACGTTCACCAGAGCGTATATGCATTTATACATATCCATGTTAATCTCCAAACTTTAGGGTGTTACTTTATATCTTTCAATACAACAAGGTGATTTTCTTATAAAATAATATTAACCAAGATAAGGAAAAAAGGATGGAAAAGGCCTTATGTTGCTCCTAGGGAGTCTGTTGTGACTTGTTTGCAAACTTTTTTTTTTTTTTTTTTTTTT